CGGACCCGGCGGAGGGTGCGAGCGGACGGTGCATGTCTTCCCCAGGTCCCCGAGCGCCGGGAGAGCGGGGAGAAAAGGGGCCGCTCGCTCCGCTTGGGTCGGAGAGGCGCCCACGCAGAGAGACAGCCCCAAAGTCCAAAGATGATGCGGTCAATCACTTGTAACGCATGAACGGGGTTGGGTGGTGTGTGTGTGTGGTTTTTTTTACGATTGTTTATTTAAGCTGGCCTCTCTTTATGCCCTCTTTCTGACAAGCCTCTGGCGGAGTTCTGTAGATTTTAAGAAAGCCCGCGTGCATTTCAAAGTTGATGCAACTATGGAAAAATACACATTCCGGCAGGGGAACTGACAGCAAAAAGTGGTTTTTAAACATTGCAAGGCGGAATAAAACCAAGTTAATCTATTCTGGTTCTTTGAAGATGTTTTCGAAAAGAATTTGCTTAGCTACCCAAGAAAGGCTAGACCAGTGTTTTTCAAAGTTGCAATTTTAAGGTGTGCTGACTTCAACTTCCAGAATGGGGAATTCTGGCTGGAGAATTTTGGGAGTTGAAGTCCACCCATCTTCAAGTTGCCAAGTCTGAAAAACACTGGTCTAGACAGAGGTTTAATTAAGAATCTAATATACAAAATATAAGCTACGAGAGGTGATGCATATTCCAAAAGCCTGAAGTAATAATAAACAGCAGGTAATTAGTACGGATTTATTCAGTACATTGTGATCAAGCCATAGTTTGGTGTGGCTTGTGAGCCAGGTCTGCTGAGTTCACTACAGAACAGTACATGACCAAAAAATGTGTTAAAATTGGAGTGGTTGCTAATGTCTTGCTGTGTTATTGTTGCCCCATATGTTTTCCACCACATGCATGAATCGGAAACAAAGTTTGCTTTCAAATCCAGAATGAGCTCTTGCATCCCAGAAGTTCTGGATGTCCCAGGTCAGCCACAGCTCAGCAGAACTGAAGCTTAGAAGTATTTGGTTATCTGAGTTACACTGTAGATCAGTGTTTCTCAACCTTGGCAACTTTAAGATATGTGGACTTCAACTCCCAGAATTCCCCAACCACCGCGGGTGGCGTGGGGGGATTGGGGGGGTGAGATCACAAATATTATAAATTTCCAGGGGGTGGAAAAATTACTGTGTGGAAGACACAAA